TCTTAACAAGGGATGCTCCAATGAATTTTCTTTATATGAAAGATCCTATCTTTTTTTCGACGAGGAATCACCTTCTTAAATGTTTTACACTTATTTAGTTACACCCTGTATAAGGATATAGATGTAAAAAGGCTTGCCTAGGTGTACTACTTGATTTGGCAAATGCATTTGACACCGAAAGTCATACACTATTGCTTAGCAAGCTGGAAAATCTAGGTGTGAGGGGTAATGTTAACAACCTATTCCGTAGTTCTCTTGAAGATCGTACCCAAAGAGTCCAGATAAATGGCGAACTGAGTGAAAAAAGTAATATATCATGTGGTGTGCGTCAGGAAACCGTCTTAAGTGCTATATTATTCCTTGTATATCTGAATTCATTATTTTCTCAACAATCTTGTGGAAAGACACTGTTGTCGTTTGTTGATGACACTGTTATACTATATACCGCAAGTGGATAGTAAGACGTTAGAAATATTGGTTAACGCGATCAATCAACTTTGAAAAAACTTAAGTACTTCCATTCATTTTATACGAATCATATTTATCAGAATATATAAATATAAACATCAACTCCGAAAATGTCAAGTTAGTTAAATCAGCAAAGTACTTAGGTATTCACGTAGATAGCTTTCTCAGATGGAATGTTCAAGTACATAACTTGAAAAATAAATTGAGAGGACTTCTATACAGGTTTCACCAGCTCCGAAATATACTAACCCTCAACAAATTGAAAATATTATACCACGCATTTGTAGAATATCTTCTACAATACGGTATAATTGGTTGGGGTGGTATAAATGCAACTGCACTCGATCCACTAGAAATGGATTCTTGAACAAACTAGACAATTCGTCAAAAACACTGAAGACCCAGAAAATTGATACATATTTCTTTTTTCATTTCTTCTTGATTAGTGTCAATTTCCTTTCATAAGCTTATTAGAGAATTTGAAAATTATTTTTTTCCGCAATAACAAGTTGTAAATTGATGAGGTAGAAAAATCACGATTCTCATAAGACGAAACAAAGAAAATCATTTGTTTCCACAGACAGTTTCCATGTGAATCTAAGTGGCAATCGTTTCTATTAGTTCAGTATCGGTAAATGTACTTAGGATACCTTTATGCTGTTCAATAATCAATGTAATAATTCTAAGAAGATTTGGCAAATAAACATTATTATTATTATTATGTTTTTCACCAAATAAAACCTAATAATTTTTCGTTTTTGAAAAATATATCAGAATACAGAATAGAAAACTTATGAAACTTTTGGACTGAAATCTTCATTTTCAACCAAAACCAATACCAGTTTTGAATGAAAGAACTCTGGATAAATGATTTTTTCAAATCAAAACTATTTTCTTCATCAAGTTCATCACCCATGTTTGAAATGTAATTTCTTCAAAACGACCTACCAACAGATCTTTTCACTCCACATCTTATGTTCAAAATGGAATTTCTTTAAAACGATATAGATCTCATTGAATTTAAATTTTGCCGGATGCGCCAGTATATGCTAAACTAAGGATTTCGATTAAGAAATCAATAGAATAGAATAGAATACAAATTTATTCTGTAAGCCAAAAAAGATTGGATAGAACATGTCAAAAAACTAAAATACAATCAAACACAAATAATAATAAGGGTAATAACTTAAGATATAAAAATAATGCAACTACCTATAAATGGAATTAAATATTGGAAACAGATTGCTGGTAGTTTAAAAATTCATCAATACTGTAGAAACAGTTTTTGTAGAGAAATAATTTTAATTGTCTTTTAAATTCNAAGTATAACAGTTTTTATTATAACAGGTTTCTATCATCTTACTTTTTTATTATTTATTTATATTCAACTTCAGCGCCTAATAGAAAAAACACAATTCTTGAATTGAAAGAGGTATATTTTTAGGAGAGATTGATTTTTAGAAAGTTATACAAAAAAATGTGGAAATCTTCCAAAGAAAGGAAGAAAGGTATGAATTTCATAATGAAGTTTTTAAAAAGATGTAATTATGCTTTGATTGCACATCTAGTATGAGTACATAAACAATATGCAAAATGAATAATCGGAGCCACTGAATTGATTCCTGCTCCAGAGTTCATCACTGGTGATTTGGTATACACCATCGTGAGAACTACCTTCACAGTCATGCGAAACCCAAGCTCACTATGAACTTACAGCTTAGTGATACACGAGGAAAATGCAGAAAATAACTCAAACCAAAAAATATCGTGTAGAAATAATCGCGGAATTGATTCCTTCGACGAATATATACGAAGTGACAAAGAAAGGTAAACAAACACCCATTTATTATGTTGAAAATATATTGATAATTTTTTTACTTACATACTTGACAAATAATAGTAAACAAACGAGTAATTTTTCAAAGAAATTAGATGATCGTGAAACTAGTGAAGCTCAGTAGTGTGTTGCAGATCCTCGATATGTTATACACTCGTGGATACATCTGGACATTGTACTGATAAGGTGATCTATATCCTGTAGGGGTATCTAATTCCACTCTACTGCTAACTCATGTCTAAGTACTGCCAAAGTCTGTGGGGGCTTTTGTTAATTCAGCAGTCTACGACCAAAAGTAACCCACGCATGTTCGATCGGTGAAAGATTAGGCGATCTGTGTGACCATGGTAAGCAGTTAATGTCATGCTGATCCATTAGGTCTATAGTTACCCTAGCCACATGCGGTCTAGCGTTGTCTCGATGGTCTCAAGATATGGGAGTACATGAGGCTTCACTACTTCGTGAATGTAACGAAGAGCTGTCATGTTGCCTCTAATTAAGTCTGAAAGTACCCTGCGACCATATGCAATGGCACCCCATACCATTAAATCAACAGTTTGGTGAAAATGCCTATCCACGTCAAACTGGGGATCTCGTCTTTCACCACGACGCCTTCTTACTCTTGCTCGTCCATCGTGCATACCCAAACAAAAGCGAGATTCATCGCTGAGGACTATGCGGTTCCACTATTGATCCCAATTTATTCTGTCTGCCCCAGTGCAATCGGTTGCGTCAATGATCGAGAGTCAGTGGCAACACCCAATGAGGATGATAAAAAAAAATCCGAAACTTCTTACTCGCCGATATACTGTGCGCATTCCAAAAACCCTTCCGTGTTTTTCAAACCACTGATTCGCAATTGTCCTAGTAGAAATGAACCGATCCCTAAGAGTCAAAAGTCTTAATCCCCTGCGACGACCGGTGCCCCTAGCTCTTTCTTTTTCTTGGTCTTCTTGGGTGCTTATAGAATAGCACGCAAATATCGATTGGTTCTTCTTGAAATTTCTCTAAGTGAAAAACTAGTCTAACGTGAGTTAACTATTCGTCCTCTTTCAAAATCACTAAGTTGAGGAATATGACGAAGTCTTCGCACTTCGCACATAAATACACATGCAAAACATTTTTGAAATATTTTTAATATGGGTATTTACCTTTCTTTGTCATTTAGAACATCATTAGCGGAAGCATTAGTAACCTTCGAAAGACGACAGATTAAAACCGATAATTAGAACCAATGATTCCAGTAGACTTCAAACTTTTAAAATCCCTCAAACTATGGCATGAAAAGAAAACAAATGTCTAGTCTCACTTCTATAAAGATCTCTAAACAACATTCATTGTTATTCAAAAGTCTTACAACCTTTCACAGCATCAACCGTTAATGCAAAAACCTTAGACCAAAGCCAGTTTGCAAAAATAAAACGACTTATCTGATTGGCAATTACAAAGACCAATTTAACGTGCTTTACTGTAATTTCAAGAGGCAAATATACCTGTCTTTATTGAGAGCAGAAGATTCACAAGATATAGTTAAGGATAAATATGATTTTGAACCAAATACTCAGGCAGTAATGGTTAAGGCTTTCGATAAGTATATCTAGCAATGATATCCGCTGGTCCTGTTAGGTCTATATGGTGAACTTGATGCTGGGGTGTTGAGCGTTCAAGTGGTCTAGGAAAAGGTTTAGAGCATCCCTTCCATGTTTCCAGATGACAAAGGTGTCATCCAAGTAGGTGTCATCTACGAATAGCAAACAGCATGATGGCAGGTCGACGAACGTTATTGACAATTCACCTAATAAAGGTACAAGTATTAGCACACCAATCTACCTGAAAAAGCTTGCTACTCGCGCCAGAGAAACGACAGGAAGCAATTCCAAACCCGAAAAACCCGAAACCCGAAAAATAGTAATACTAGACAAAGGCAGTAAATTCAAAATAATGAAAGTTTTGTGGTATAACGATACAATATGGTAGAATGGTATTACATGGCTCAGTGTCTAGACCTACAGAAAACCTCTAGAAAACGATGACCTCCGTCATCGTACTATCTAGCAAATTTGTGGTCCAAGAAATTTTTTGGAAGGGGCTCCTGCTGTACAGGAACATATTTAATCAAATATCCAATTAACATTCGATTATCCCCTGGCTAATACCACGAAGGGCGTTGGATTATATCCGACAGGCGTCAGTGCAGGAATATTGTAACTTGTTATGTATTTCAGTTAGTTAGCCTACTCAGTATAATGTGTAGTTCCAGAGTTGTCAAAGAAATTGTCGAATATATCAACGGTGTTCAAAATCCTTCAAATTATTTATTTGAGTATCCACAAAAATACAATATGGCTGCGATGAACTTTTGAAGCAAATATATGCTAAGAGTTTCTTAGCCCGTGGGCACTGAATTTGAGTTGAATAAGGATATGACACGGATGTTCATGAGACACTAAAACCTGAGGTTTCCCAAAACAGGTACTTGAGACAGTCCAGGTACTGTTCTGTGAAACTAACCATTACTAGAAGCGCCTGCCTCCCAGATTCAGAATAAACCAAAACAGACTGTAAGCTCAAAACTGAACTAGCCAAAATTAGTCAGTATACTACGGTTAACTATTATGACAACAGTTTTTTCTACAAATTCAAATAACCTAATTTTCCAAATTCACTCGAATCTATCTGTCAAAGATATACTCACTCCATCTTTCTTCGACATGTTGCTGAACTAACTTCTCCTCCGCTCTAGAATCGAACTCACAACTTCACCGCGAAAACCGTATCAATGTCCCACCGGTTGTATAACCGCCAATGACAGTTGACAGGAGTTAATACAACCAAGAGATGTCACACACGCATAAGCGTACAAAGTGGTGCACAAGAGCGAACTGAACGGAACGCTACCAGTGGAATACCACCTACCAGTGGACGATTATTTCAATTATTCACTGTATTATGTGCCACTCAGGATTCGCTTGGGACGCTAATAGCGTTAGCTGTGTTGAAGTTGATTCAATTGAATGGAAACGTCGACGTCACTTCGATCATGTGTAGACAATCGCGGTAATTGTCAATGGCTGATTTGATTCGATTAGGGAGATGTTATCATTCCTCGGAGCCTTTGAATGAACTTGATGGTTTCATACGAACTGTATGAAACTGTACCTAATTTGAAGAAAAAATTTGCTTTTACATGACGTTTACCTCTCAGTGGCTTGCTTGGGCGCGGTTTGAGAGTACTTCAGTTTTCCACGGATCAACAATGAATATAAAGCATTGAAACTTGTAATACATTAACCAAAAATGATTTTTGGTTAAAGTTTTGGATAGGCTGCTCCTCCAATTTTGAAAATAAAATTGGTTACAATTACGTATTTTCATTTGTAGATTACGAATTCGGAATTGAAAATCCGTGCTTTCCCTAACTTTCAGAATTAGAACCCTCCAATGTTCCGAAAATTGCAACTTTTCAGCCTTCCTTCTGCATAACACAGACTATAGAAAAACAAGAATTCATTCACCACGTCACATTCAAATCTTGTTTCCCCTTTTTTCACACGGTTATACTATAAAAACCTTCAATAACTCACGGAGCTGATGATCTCTCTATTTAACGTTTTTGAGATTAACGTCAACATTTAAAATTCAAATCATATGGACATTCAAATCATGAGTCATGAGTATTTCGAATTGTAGTCGGTGACAATTACCAACCGCTTTTTTCCAAAATATCACTAGTATATAACCTTAAAATGTAGGGATGTCACCACAAAATGAATCCATTGATAAATCAAGTTTTTATATGAAAAAATGTTGATTACTGAACTGAATTTTGTCAAAGAAGGTGAAATAAGATGTAAATCTGATGTGGTAAATAAATACTTATGTAATTCTTGAAAAATGAGAAATAAACTTTCTGTTTTTATAGGTGTAACTAACGTTACTGCAGTTTCGTCCTGCAAGGACATTTTCAAACTAATACAATAAACTCAGTTTGAAAATGTCCTGCAGAAACGTTAGTTACGAATATAATATAAGTGATATAAAAATATTGAAAGTTTAATTTCTCATTTTTCATGATGATCTACCACATAATATACTTTGTATTATACAAAAAGAATACTGAAAAGTTTCGGATCTCTGGAGGACTGTACCTCTGGAAATAGGGGAAAACACCGATTTTTTTTAGATTCGTGATCTACACGAGAAAATGCGTAAGTTTCCCCAAATTTTTTTCAATGTTTAAATGACAGTTATTTCGAGGGGAGTTCTTTTTCCAGTTTGTGTCTGAAAGTTACTTCTTTGCATGACCTACACATCTTTTTATAGGTATGGCTGTGATTAAATGAAATAAGCGAATAAATATTATTTATGTACTGTCATCGATGACATACGAAAAGTCGTAATTTTATGAACGAATTAAGTGTTTTTACTTATAACGTTATCCATATTTGGTACTGAATCCATTTTGTTCTAAACAGTAATAAAGTCTGTTTTCGAACTCCCCTCTAACATTACGAAAAACATCACTAGGCATTAACTGGCATGCTACTGTAATTGCTACTGTAGTTCTTCAATATCAGAAGGTTGTGTTTCATAAATAACGGAATTAAGATGCCGCCAAAGAAAAAAATCTGAAGGTGTTAAATCCGGTGATCTTGGAGGCCATTCAACTGTTTCCCTTCTACCAATCTATCTTTCGGGAAATCTCTCGTTTAACCACTGTCGGACGGGAAGAAAATAATGAGGTGGAGCACCGTCCTGGTGGAAATGTAACAGATCCTCCTGCAAAAGTTCATTACCTTCTGCATCCATTTGAGTTTCTAGCTCGTGAGTTATAAGAGGATCGATAGTCTCTTCAATAATTTCAAGGTACAGATTGCCAGTCAAGTTTTCTTCCATAAATAAAAGACCAATTATGGCATTTCCAAGAATATCAGCCCAGACATCAACTTTTTGCGGGTGTTGTGTATGCTCTTCCCTTAAAATATGTGAGTTTTCGTCACTCCGTCTATTAACATTGTTTTTCTTAGTCTCGCGTGACATTCCCGTCTGTTCTTCAAAACTTCAGTTTGAGCTGCTTCATTTAGTACTTTGGGGTTATTTATTTTTTAATTTGTCACTGAACCAGTTTCGTGAGACTTATTCCCCGAATCAAGCACATACCGATGACTTATAATTTGGACTTGTTTCGTTAAAAAGACATGCTGACCTTCGGGCGCACTTTCCAACTTCTCCATAAATCACAATTATTTCAATTCTGTCTTTGAACATGTAAACCATTTTCACACTTTTATGCACTTATTAAAGTAGTCATTAAACAGCCCAACAGGTATGCACAATACTACCACAGAAACTTTTTACAGAAGAAGTAACAAAAAAGGACGGCTATCTGTACAATTTCTGCAATTAGAATTCAAAATGCAGCATTTAATAAACACAACTTTACTACCCGTAAATTTATTGGAACTAATGGGTAACGTTACCTCTAATAAAGGGTTGAAATGGTACCACCTGATATTCTCATCAGTTCTGGTCTACCATGCATCTCAGTATAGGCGTACTAATAATTACTTCTGTTAGTTTAGAACGCTATTTTTCGAAAACTTCTCATCAAAAAATAACACGTTAGGGTCTCATTGGAAGCAGAATTGAACGCCAATCAAAATGATATGCCACTTGACCCCCTTCCCATTTAAAATTCTAAGGGTAACATTTACCCCTCCTAGAGGGTTGACCCACGAGGGCTACAAATATTCCTTGAAAGTATCTCCCTTGACAATAAAATTAACCTGTTTTTCGATTCCTCATATTGTTTACTGGAATGTTGATAGTATAACCTGGTGATAATAATTAAACTAATCCACATCTTCAATCCATTACGACACCCTTTAAAAGAAATAGTTGTGTAACATTTTTCAAGTCATACTTCTCTAGGAAAGAAAAATTAACAGCAAAAACGTATTAAATTAACAATTATCCAACCGCTGGACTGTAAGATTCCTAAAATCACTAAAACTTTTTCAGAGTCAATAATAATTATTTATTTTCTCAAACCAAAGAGCAACATTAACCTTTTTACCAACCGCACTCGAATCAATTACACTAAAACGATTCTGTAATTAATCCAAGTGTTTTTACGATACATCCGTGGCATAAAAACTAGGAACAATCTATGTTAAAAGCTTATTTTTGAAGAGGGTTTTTTTCGAAACAAACAAAAAATACCCCACATTTCCAGCACACAATGGCCGAGATTCCAGCACACAATGGCCGAGATTCCAGCACACAATGGCCGAGATTCACGCTACTAAACAATTCCAGCACAAACTAGTTCATGAAAGGGTGAACATCCTTTGCAGGATGATGTTATTGAATTTGCAATCAGAATGCCAGGAGATATGTTGTCCTGGAAACGGGAGATTTTATTTCCTGTTTTGATGTCTCGAATGTCAGCAAGTTACTTCCTAATTCTATACCAGAATTTTCAGTGGTAGGACATTGTTGGCGAGTTTAGCTAAAAAACAGGAGTGGAATGCACTAAATTTTCAGTGCAGTGTAAGAAATAACATTCAGAATATATTTAATGGAAATTTTTTGAGAAAAGGCATGTTGGCTTTCTATTTCTCCATCTCTATATTAAAAAATGTGGAAAGCTTCCAAAAGAAGAAAGAAAGTAAGTTCAGATAAAAACTACTTTCACATGAGCATCGGATTATATGAAAGTAAAAGTACTCTCGAAATAACTATTTTCATATGGGCATTCATTTATACGATATTTTTTTTCTATTCAGTTTGTACTCCGAACATTAGTTTCGGAAATCATCAGGCACGCTACACTTCGTAATATATGAGAAAGTATTGACAAAGGTGTACTTCGAAGTTTTGGAACAAGACATTTGTTGTATCACCCCATCAGTGGCGTTTTGTGGATTATATAACAAAGAGAAGCACTCATTTCGTTCATAACAAACAATACGATTTTATGTTACTGGAAGAGACAAATCTACTCATGCCATGACGACGACAGTACGTAAAAAAATTCATTCAGTTAGTTAGTTAAATTCCATACATAAGAATCTTGTTTAAATTGAAAGAGGTTCATTTTTAGGATAGGTTTGATTTTGGAAAAAAAAACGTTTTGCCTTTCTATAAAAAAGTAGAAAACTTCAAAGGAAGGAAGAAAGCGTTAGAGTTCAAAATAAACTCTTTACAAAGATGTGTGGATCATGCATAAGAGTAACAAACTGGAATAAAAAACCTCTTTCGAAACAACTACTTTCATATGAACATTGAGTATCGATATAAACTGTCACTTACATGGAACACTTTAATTTTTTTCAAGGACAAAACACAAGCACTACAGGAAAATCCTTAAGGCACTCTCATAGCGGTGCCTGTGCGAAAGTGGCAATTCACATCGGATTTGAATCGCTAGAGATTATATCCGTTTGGAAAAACGTTCTCAGGAAGTTTAATCCACATAAACGCAGTTCTCCAGATGAAAGAGTTCTCAACAGTGAAGTTTGTGAGTTGAACCTCAAAACGATGAGCNCTAGGTTAGGATTCCATATTGACCTGTTTATCTATCTTCGTAAGGCCGTACTTCGCGACCTTGCTCATCATTGCTTTTTGGAAATTTAAGCCAGGTGATACTTGGATACTGAAGTCACTAAAAGTGTTTTCAAGTAAAGACAACAGAGCCCTGTATTCTGAAGTGCTTGGAGCTGGAGAGACGTAACTCAGAAATAATTTTATGTGACATTATAATGAAGTTTTACGATTTCAGTGTTTCCTCTTGCTAGAAAGATGGGTAGCTTCAAATACGAGGAGAAACTCCAAAGTTGTGTTCGAATAGAAAATGAATGTCGTTGTGTAAACATAGAAAATTGA